TGCTCTAAAAATATAGAGTAATCGGATCTTCGACTGTTCATCACTATACATCCTCCTTATTAGACTTATTCGAGTTTTTAGCATTTTATTTTGTATCCAGGTGTTATCTGGCAGCTTTAAATCAGGAATATTTTATTTGTCATTTTTATAGCTCTATTTCGAATGGAGGTGAAGGTTATAAAAGATATAGAAGACTTGGCATCTTCAATCATTTTCCAAGCCAATAAATCTTCTTTTTTGTTAGAAGATATAATGAAAGCTGCCCCATTATTTTAAAAAAATATAAGCAGATTAAACGCTTTAAATTTGGTTAACTTCTCAATTAATGATTTAGCCACAGATAAAGTTGGTTTTAGCCTTATAGAGGTAGGGATAAGATCCCTTTATCTACGGTCTTTATCACGTGCTCACCACCTTGTTTTACCTACTTTCTTTGGAGACTTAGCAGCCTCCATTAGCCATATAAATCATTTACGCCAAGATCAGCTGCTGTCTTGTACTCTCTATTTACAAACTAGTAGTTTGTGACCTATCTTCATTTTTTAATATTAATTGCTAATTTTAAATAGAACATCATTAATAACTTATTAACGGTTGTCTTTGACATAAAATTATTAGAGAGCTTACTCCCTTGGATTTTGATTTATCGGAAAGTTTCAGCTTGCCTTTTCTACTTTTGCTCCTGAAAATAGTCTTTTCTAAATGGTGTCGAAATATTTAATCATTTTTTTACTGTATTATATCAAGGAAATTCCCATTTTTACATTTTCAATTTCAAATTTGATAAGTGTTTCATTGTGTGATCCTCTGTATGATTTGTTTACCTAATCTCAAATATGCATATTGTTACATGGATATTATTGCATTTATTATTTTAAAGCTAAATAAATCCTATTTAAATAATAAATAAAAAATAATGTATATAAATATAAATATAAATCAAATAAAACTTGACTTTCATTTAAATGGATACGCATTTTTTTTGAAAAAAACTCATAAAATAACAATATCTAAATGATAATCCTCAAAAATTATATGAATATAATTCTAAATGCTAAAAAAAGATATGATAACTTGAACGGCCTCTTTTTTTCATTTTTATAGTGATCGGCCTCAAAAATCGAAATTTTCTCTCGTGAGCAAAATGCCCACTTGGTCTTATGGCCAGTCCACCTTTGGATATTAGACATGCCTCTAACCCTTGAGTGGTTGATGAAGTGGAAAAAAATAAAAAAGTGATTGGGAAGAGGATTGGCCAAAAAAACAAGCGGGCATTATGCCCACGAGGCAGCTAGAAGAAAAAAGAAGTCAATCAGATAAAAGAGGAGTATAGTAATTAATGTCTACTAAACTTTTTATAAAAATTGAAGGTGGTATTAATTCCAAAAAATTGTTTATTTTTATCTAAAAGTATAATCTTTGTACGTGTATAATGAAGGCCGATAAAGTTAAAAATACGTTATTTTTGCCTTTGACCCTTTATATCTCCAAAAATTTATATGTTATGGAGGTTAAATTTCGGTCTTGGTTATATTAACCTTAAAAATAATGTGGGTCAGCCGATGAATTGAGAATACTGAGGATATGAGGACTGGGGAGATTAATAATATAAAAGAAATACTAGTAATAAATTCATGATTATGTGTCAAAGCTAGAAAGCGCTGACACGTTTACACTGGCCTCTATGTTCAGTATGTATAATTTTATATGCGTAATGAGTACGATTTTATATGTGTAAATATTGACATGCTTTAGACAAAGGTATAAGAAAAAATAAAACCATGTTAAGGTCATTTATAGAAAAATCGACTAAAAATGAAATTTTTGATCACAATAAAAAAGAAGTATGAAGGTTATATAGAGTCGTAAATAATTATCAAATTTTAAAGTTCTAGCTCAAACGGATGGAGTTATGAGCTTACAAAGTAAAATACAGTTGCAATCTAGAGTATAATATCAAATTCAAATTAGTGTTACTTGATTTGAGGATTTTTAAAAACGGCTTACTCAATATTTTATCCAGGAAAATATTATGAAAGCCTGAAGATTTTGTCACACAAAGGTTTGGACATCTATTAGCGAAATCTCGAAACTTGGGCAATATTTTTCAGGTTAAAAGCCGCTTTTAAAAATCGGCTCAAATCGACGTATAATAACACTAGTCCAAATGTATGATGTCGTCGGTATAGAATTGGAGTGCTCCACTCGACATTTTCAAAATTTTTGAGTTAGAAGTGGATAATAACTTATTTATTCCCAATATATATAAAAATAAAAACTAGATTAAGAATATTAATTTTTGCCAAAGTTATTGTCAAAATTGATCAATAACTTTTTCCTATTTTATTTTAAACTTTATGTTGATTTTCTCATTTTAAATATTCAAATTTTTTGAGTTAGAGGCGGATAATAACTTATTTATTCCCAGTATATATAAAAATAAAAACTAGATTAAAAAATATTAATTTTTGCCTTTCCTATATTTTATTTTAAACTTTAATGTTGATTTTCTCATTTTAAATATTTGTGCAAGTGAAGCACTCCAATTCTAGACCGACGATATATAATTTTGTAGCCCTTAAAATTCTCTTTAAAAAAATTTTAAAAAAAATTATTTAGTGTCGATGTATATTCAGTATAACAAAAATTAGAATAAAAATATTTAAGTAAGAATTGTTATATTTGAATATTTATATATTGTAAAGGTTAATATTTTAAAAGGTTACGTTATTTGAATAATATATTATTATAACTTTCTTACATTTCATATTATCTTATGGAGGTCAGTGTAATTGCATATTAGTAGAAGTTAAATGACATAATTATAAAATACTATATATATTTAGGAAACAATTTTAAAATAAATAATCTATTGTTTTGACTAAAAAATGGCGACGAGGTAAAAAAAAAATATAAGTCGCGCGGTTTCGGTCTTCGGTCAAGTTTAATAATATATAGAAATATAAAATTTTTTCTGTTTATAAAAAAAATAATAATATATTTTAGAAATTATAGATAAAATAATTTTACAGGACTTTGAAAAAGAAGATTGTTCCATCGATGATTACATTGATTATATAAAATACATACTGAATGTGAAAATAATTCCTCAAACTGACGCCACTTTAAAAAAATTATTTATAGCTTATGGAGGAATAAACATTATAACTGATATCAAAAAATTATTCTTTCCTAGGAAAATAGAGGAGGTAGGATGGATTGACATATACAAAATTGCTACAACTGTATAAAAATGAAAGAACTATCTTGGCATCTAGAATTGAGTTCATTAGATAAGTCGCGGGCCTACTGAATCCGTAATGAGCTATTTAAAAAATATAAAGAAGCTAGCCCGAAGATGCGAATTTGAAGATAATGTAAAACTAAGAATTCGTGATCAATTAATCGCCGGACTAAAGATGTAACAACTAGATAAAGAACTACGTTTAAGATATCCTGACACTAAAGACGAAGACCAACAGTTGTAGAATTGGTTTTAGCGATGGAACGGGCTGACTTAGAAATATAATACTACTGAAATGGTATATAAAATCAAAGAGACGAATAAACATAATGATGATAATAATCGGATAAATCAACATGATAAAAATAATCGGCAGTATAATAATGATGATAAACGGCACTATCAAAAGGATAATAAAGCATATGTAAAAAGAGAACTAGTGCCAGGATATAATAACTACCACATCTGTAATCAGTTTCATGCTATTAGAAATTGTCCCGCCTACGGAAAATTGTGCAGCAAATGTAGGAAACCAAACCTATGTTGTAGAGCTAAAGAAAAGATTTACGGTACAAATTATTAAAATGGAATATGATACGGGTTCGGCAGTAACAATTATTAATGAAATAAAATCAAGGCCAAAACTTAGAAGGGCTAAAGCACCAACTAATGATAATGGTAACGTGAATATTGACAAACTATATAAAGAATTTGCTACGGTGTTTGATAATAAATTAGGATTAATAAAAAATGCCGAACCAGTAAAACTACAATTAGAAGAAAATACAAAACCAATGCACTGTCAGCTAGAAGAGTACCGTTGCCTTTAAAATTAGAAATTGAAAATGAACTGAAACGTTTGGAAGAGAGAGATTTCCAAGAAAAATATTTCTTACCCTGTCCTCACAAGGATTGATTTTGATTAAAATGTGAATTTTTGCTCTAAAAAATGAACAAAATTTTGCATAAAAGTGTTATATAATTTATACATGTAGGCCTAATATTTATCAAGTAATTACACCGAGATTGCACCTTTAATATACGTTGAGAGGCCATAACTCCGGATCCATTTAAGCTAAGAGTTTTAAAATTTTGATTTATATTAATATTTGTACAACATAATCAATGTACCAAATTTCATTAATTTAATAAAGGTCTTTAAAGAAAACCCGTCGAAGGCTGGGTAAAATAAGTAATATAAACGAGAATCCCCCCCCCCCATAAAAATGAAGCCGCTAGAAAAATTTGCCCAAGAGGCCAAAGCATGCCGCCCCCCCCCCCAGGAGGAGCATAACTCATCTTAAATTTTTGTATTAAACAAAAAAACTTATGAGAATTTTTGTAAAGAATGTCAAAAATGCCTTAAAAATATTCTATTTCATATTTTTGCTTTATAAATCTAAACAAAAATTTTATTTATTATATTTGAATATTAGAAATTTGTTTACAAATAATGTATTTTTTTTAAAAAAATTTGAAAATTAAAATGTGCGTTTTGCCTCAAAAAATTAACAAAATTTTGCATAAACATAGTTAGAATAAAATAGGCGGTTAATGAAAAAACTTGGTCAAAATATCGACAAGCTTTTTTGAGGTAATAATTTAAAAATTTAAGATGTTGATTAGTATGCCTCGTATACCACTCAATAGTTATAAAAAATTAGCGAGTATTTAATTGGGACCAAATTGATCGTTATTTATGCTAGTTTTTTTAAGGATTATATCTGGAAAATAAAAAAAATTCTCTAAAAATTACCCAACCCTTTCGAATTTGTATGACGGCTCTGATATAAAAAAATTGCTGAAGAAGGATAGAAGTATCAATACGATTATCGGAAGCATCTGAAGGAATATTGTATGGCTGGGCTAAAAAAATATTCATATATTAGAAAAATTTAATGCATAGCATAGAATTTATTATGGAGTGTAAGAAAATGTGATTTTGTTATTTTTTGTAATGGCAGCCCTTCCTAACTAGCGCAATAAAGCTTATATAAATATTTATAATTTTAAACATGCAATCAAGTGTTAAAAATTAAATAAAAAATTATTATAAATAATCGGAATCAGCGACAAATGTAATATGATTGGTATTAAATCACATTTATTGAATCTTACAATAATTTTGAAGTTAAAATTTTCTTGAAATAAAAAAAAATAACTTCTTCTCGCGATCTAGAGGGTGGTTGAGAATTTTGACCTTGTCCAGTCCTGACTCTAGTATGTGATGGACCATTACGATAAAACCCTATAAATTTCAAAATAAATGCATTTACAAATCATATAAATTTTATATTATATATTTATTAAAATAAAAAATTATAATTAACCTCTGTTTTGTAAACCGCCTCCAAAGAATAAATTGAAAATGTCTTCTCCACTCATCTCGGCTATAAACAATAATATATTAAATAAAATTGTTTGAAAATCCAAAGCTGAAAATATTACTTTCAAAAATAAAATTATAAATATATAATGCTAAAATTAAGAAATAAACAAATTATACATCTATAAAAACCCAAATCCAACAAGAAACCCCAACCCTTAGTTGGATTGGGAAATCGTTATATTTTCTTATTTTTGAGGTGGGTTAAGTCGAGATTTTTTTTCGATGGATCTGGAAATATTTTTTTTTACAATTTTAAATAGGATATTAATAATAGTGTTGTTAAAAAGCCGAATTTTATCGGCTACAACCTCGAGGTAGGTGCCGAAAATTTGGCTTAAACCTCGAGGTCGGAGCTGAAAATTTGGCTCAAGCTCAAGCCGGCTCGAGTCTAATTTTGAGCCAAAATTTATTTTATTTATATATTTTAAAAGAATATTTAAATTGTTTTAAGTTCTAACCACCATCTTTCAATCGTTTTAGTTGATTATCTATATTTACCTATTAGTTTACATTTTATTGTAAAGATCACTTTATCATTTTTAAAAACATTTGTTAGGTTAATTTATGCTTTAATAAGAATAAAAAAATAGAAAATATATAGTAAAATTTAATCAGATTAACACTATCAGAGGTGATACTCTTCTTCAAATAAAATATATAATTTTAAATAAAATTTTCTAAATTATATCTGAATAATTCACATTACTATAGAATTTGTTTATTCACTGTATTGGATTTATGTAAATTTCTATCTTCAATCAACAAGGATTTAACCATATAATATATATATTCTGTCCCTTGTGAGAAAATCCTTTAGTTGAGCCACATCAGGGGTTCCAGAACTCTTAGGTAGCTTACGTGCTTATTTTTAAGTACAAATATAAATATATTTTAAAATTCTTCCACTCAGTCTAATACTTGGTTTTGGATAATTTTATGAATAATATTTTAATTTTTAAAATAACTTATATATTTTAAGAAAATATTAAAAGCACAAAAGCATCGAAGATTAATTTTTCTTTAGTGCCGTTTCATCTATTTCTTTAATATATTTTACATAATAATTGAATCAGGTAAAGAATGCTTGTTTATAAATTATAAATATAATACGAAAGTAGCAGGGATATTACCTCAATTCATACATAATTAGTCACATAATAATAAAAATAGGAGGCGCTAATGTGAATTATTTAGATGTAATTATGAAAATTTTAATATATATTTTATTTGAATAAAAGTATCACCTCTGATAGTGTTAATCTGATTAAATTTTACTATATATTTTCTATTTTTTTATTCTTATTAAAGTATAAATTAACCTATCAAATGTTTTTAAAAATGATAAAGTGATCTTTACAATAAAATGTAAACTAATAGAGAAATATAGATAATCAACTAAAACGATTGAAAGATGGTAGTTAGAACTTAAAACAACAATTTAAAAATACCGGGCCGGTACTGAATATATAAAGCACGGATTAAATATGTTAGAGATATTTATTTTTGTCCATTTATTTAAAAAAAATTCAAAATATTTTAAAAATAACTATTATGACAATTGTCACTTATCTAGGTTACATCTTCACTAAAGTTTTAATTAAACATGTTAGAAATATTTATTTTTGTCCATTTACGTCAAAAAATTCAAAAAACTTTAAAAATAACTATTATGACAATTGTCACATAACTAGGGTACATCTTCACTAAAGTTTTAATTAAACATGTTAGAAATATTTATTTTTGTCCATTTACGTCAAAAAAATTCAAAAAACTTTAAAAATAAATTATGACAATTGTCACTTATCTAGGGTACATCTTCACTAAAGTTCTAATTAAACATGTTAGAAATATATATTTTTACCCATAAGTCAAAAAAATTCAAAAAATTTTAAAAATAACGATAATGATAATTGTCACTTATCTAGGGTACATCTTCACTAAATTTTTAATTAAACATGTTTGCAATACTTATTTTTGTCACTTAGCGTCAAAAAAATTAAATACGTTTAAAAATACCGATATAATTATCATATTTCCAAAGAACATCTTCATTTAAATTATAATCATATATTACACTCTTATGAAAAAAAATTTCAAAAATGTTAAAAAAATGAACATGACATCTATCACATTAAAATTTAACCTTAAAACGATCGTATAAAATAACATAAAAAAGTTTAATATAAATATTTAAATTATTTAGAAAAAACTACCTCATTTAACAGCCTTAAAAATTAGATAATTTTATAAAAATGATAAAAATAAATAAAAGATTTCACCTAAAAGATTGTTTATTTATAATAAAATGCAAGAGATTTAAATTCAATCAAAAATTATTTTCATAAATATTTTGAAAATCTTTAATGTTATTGTAGTCATTTTTATTTATTAAAAACATCATATCATTTTTTTCATAATATAATATAAATTTCATTTCATATAAATAAAAAATATTAAATCAAATCATATGCTTTTTTGTTGATAATAAAATATTATAAAAAAGTGATTTTACTAAAATAACACGAATTTGAGATTTTTATTATATTCTTTTAAAATATATAAATAAAATAAATTTTGGCTCAAAATTAGACTCGAGCCAACTCCTGAGCCGGCTTGAACTTGAGCCAAATTTTCAGCTCCGACCTCAAGATTTAAGCCAAATTTTCAGCTCCGACCTCGAGGTTTAAGCCAAAATTTTCGGCTCCGACCTCGAGGTTTGAGCCAATTGTTCGCCTCAAAAACTGGCTGAGTTTACGGCTAAGCCGGCTTGGTTCAGCCGTTTAACAACACTAATTAATAAATCATAATTTGAAGGTTTATTATTCTAGAATACCATTTTTTTATATTAGATTTTTGGGTCAGTTACGAATTTAGGACAATTTTATCTTAAAAGTTTGGTTACCTTTAATGAATATGTTAAAAAAACTGTGTTGAATAAATTTCGAAATATATTTTAAATATTATACATGGAATTTGTAATTTAAACAGTGAAATCAGGGAAATTTTGAAAAAAAAAAAGAATACAAATACGTTTTCAAAAAATGAATTTTAAATATAAATCTAAATATACCTAAAAATATTTCAAAAAAAGTATTTAAACAAAAATACTTTGGCTTATACTTTTTACAAGTCAATATTTAGTATACCACTCAATTTTTTTTTACCTAAAGATATTTTTACTAAAAACCATTTTTTGAAATTATCGAATATTTATAGTAGTAAAAACATTAGAAATAATATATTTATTGTTGCAGCAGTGGAATATCACACCACAAGTTGTTATGTAATAATTGCAACCAGAGTTGGGTATTACCGCAAATACTTGTCTCTAAGTTTTATATCTTGTACTCAGTATTTTCTTGATAATTTTATATAAATATATATGCATTTAAGATACATTATTCCCAATGGAATCTTGTATCTTATTCATTTTCTTGACATAAGATACAAATATTTTTTTAATATTCTTCTTGAAAAATTTAATAATATAAATATAACCTTTTTTTGTGGGTTTTTTATTTTCATTATTATTCTTTCCTATCGTCAAATTTTTAAAATTTCTTTAAAAATTATAGTACAACAAAAATTAACTTAAAAATCTACAATTTAATCAAGATAGATAAATAACAACAAAACAAAAAATGAACATCAGATTAGTGTGATATCGGATTGGTAATTAGCCGATATCAATTTAATATTAGCAAAATTGGATTGGCCTACAAAAAATGGTATCGGTATTACCCCTAGATATTTTATAAATAAAATTTTTTTAATATATTAACTAATATATTTTTTTTAAATAGAGGCCCGGGAAATATTTTGGGGACCATTTGTGAGGTCAAAAATTATATTCGAGAAGCCAGGTTTGGGGTCTATTTAAGGAGGGGGTCCTCCTGGGGCTTGGAAAGCCTAAATCATCAGAAATGTTATGGGAGGCAGTAGGTAATAAGTTGAAGGTTTCATGCAAAACGTGGAATAGCCTATAAGATTGCGTGATTACAATGCTTAAATATAAACCACATTTAAATGTGTTATCTGGAAAAAATGTAGCAACTTAGGGAGGTATAGATATTATTTACATTTATGGATGTACCGATATTTTTTATTGGATCGGTTCGATATCTCACTCATTTTAAAATATTGGTTATCGGCCAATATTATAAAATTATCCGATCCGATAAAATATGGCATTTTTAGCAAAAATAAAATGTTATAAATATTTTTAAAAAAGTTTTATCTAAAATTTATTTTTATAAATAAAATCGAAATCCATTTTTATGTTTATTTTTCTAATAATAATAATTAATTAATAAACATTCTGAACAAAGAGGTAAATCTGGCACTATCAATTCAAAGCATCAATAAAGAAATAAATGGAGAAAATTATCCATTAGAATAGTAATTCAATTTGTAGAATTACTTAAAAAGAGCATGCTAGTCATGGTGAGTATGATAAAGGTGTCCAAACTATGAAAGATGCTATGCACAATCATCTTACTAAACGTTTTTCGTATATTTATAATCAAAAAAATACTTCATAGCAACAATTTTGGATCCCCAATTTACAATCTTTTTTTCAATTCAATCAAAGACAAAAGCTACTTCCAAAATGCTTTGACAGTAATCCCTGTGAGAAAATTGAATTATCCAGCCTAGGTAAAGAATTAAATCTATTTAATAAATTTTTTAAATTTTAATTTAAACAATTTAGAAAATGATAATTAAAATATGGAGATAGAAAAAATTCCCAACATCAGCAATAGATTCAAATCATATTTAGTTTGTGAAAACTATCTCAATGAACCAGTATTCAAAGCATTAAATGATAATACCCCTGCTGATCCATTGAAATATTGGGCTGTGACTTGCCATATAAAACCAACTCTATCTAAATTTGCTCGTCAATATTAAGCAATATTGCCAAGCATCTCTTCAGAATCTGTTTTTAGTGAAGCTGGTGATATTGACAGTTATCAGCGCCTTAACCATTGATAAATTGGA